TTTTTATATTATATTATTATTATATATTAATTATAAAGGTTTTTATTTGTTTATGATGGCTGTGCCCACTTTGTGTTGGTACTATGGTCTACCTTTCCAGCTCCACATGTGTTTTGGAGGCTGCCACATTAATGCCTTCCTACTGTACAGGGGGATGCATTTGTGTAGCCACTCCCTATTTAAGATGGCTCCACATTGTCATGAACCATTTGCCTGATTTTCTAGTACCGAAACATTGCTAATAAATGTTTGTATTGCAAGTAAGACAGAGTGTGGGAATTTGTCTTTTCTACTTTTGGATACTCATCCCACTATTATGCACCTGCCTCATGGAATAAATGTGCAGGGGAAAAAATCTGCCAGTTCAGTTGGATTATTTCAGCCACTTCCCAATGAAAAGAAGAATGCATGTTAGTATCTTTAAGGGGGGCAGAAAAAGCCCCATTGCTGAATTACAATCAATAAAAATCACATGTAAATCTAGAAAATGATTGAAACAAATTGATTTATTTTGGAAACAGGCGGAACTTAATTAATTAATTAATAAGATTCGATCATATGCAGATTTTTGTAGCAAAGATATTCTTAATATATACTCACATTTGGAAAAAACAAGAAAGAAAAACTCAGTAACGGATATCCATTTTGGCCTTTGTGAGAGCATTGTTTTTACCTGACAAAATCATAAAAGCTGCTATAATAATCTGCAATAATTCTAAAAGAGTGAGCAGTGAACTTTTAGTTTTTTTTAATGAATTTCAAAATGAAACTTCTTCGTAACCTGATTAAAATAAAAATGAGCAAAATGGTCAGGCATAATGGAAGCCCCATTCAGCATGCTACGGAGCAGGTTATCTGTTTTCTACAAGAGCCATCAAGGCGTGATGTGATGCATCATCAGTCTGTAAGAGGCACAGGGAAATGCATTATACCATGAGCATTTTAAATTGCTGCGACTCTATCAGCCAACATTAACCGTGACAGATATGGGCCGGCTCTGATTGCATTAGTCTTTATTGAATGATGAAGCGGAGGAGCTTCATTCTGTACATTCCTCCAACCACGTTTGCTCTTCCTTTGCCTCTTCTCACTTCCCCTCTCCCTTCCTCCCTCTGACAGGCTGACAGCAGGCAGTGACCCCTGACTCTTTGCCTACTCAGCAGAGAGAAGGTCACTGTATATGTGTGTGTCTGGTTGTGTATACATATTTTCTTTGTATATGTGTGCGTGTGCGCAGGAGCGCCTGTGCGCGGTAATATGTGTCTGAACTGCCAGCAGAGAGAATATACAGCCAAAAATAAAAACTCATCTGTCAGCATCCAGTGGGTATGTGTGTGCGTGTTTGTGTTTGTGCACCCATATTTTGTGCTTGCATTTATGTCAGTTTGTGCTACAGTGTTTGGAGCTGAGCTTGAGACGGTGAGGTTTACCTAGTTTGTGCTGTGAGTGGTGACAAACGGCACAGAGGGGGGTGAGGAAGGGAGGAGTTTAAGTGCTTCATGTAGAGAAATCTCAGGTTTTTAATGCTGATATGATAGAAACAGTGATATTAAATGTATGTAGAGGACTTACTGTGTCATTTAAAACACTGTCCTTACACAGTGGTGAGAGCATATGATTGTAAGGGTATCATTTTATGAGTCAGACAGACACCCCTGCTGTCATTCATACAGACGCTGTATGAACGCTGTAAGTAAGTGTGTGTGTATCTGTGCATGCGCGTAAGTGAGTTAGTGTGTGTATGTGTGAGTGTGTTTGACAGGCAACCACCCTTTTCTAAATGAGATTAAATGGGAGGTTTGTCTCTAATCGTGTTGTAATGAGTTTCTGTGTAGCTCATACATTTACTAATTCCACTTGCCAATAGTGCAAACAGCCACGTGTGCATGTGTGTATATGTGTGTGTATGTGTGTGTCCCTGTGTGTGAGGTAGGAGAGGTCACCTCCCTGCAATCTTACTCTCATTTATAACAATAGCCCTGACCTGTCCTCATCAAAGGATTGCAATTTCTAAACACAAACAACATTAGCTCATGTGCACAAACACACATGGAAGCCCACACACGTGCACAGGCACACACAGGCACACACACACACACACACACACACAAACACGCACGCGCAAGCACAAGAGCAAACGTGCAGTCCATCTGTGTATGGATCTGTGTGTCATTAGAACTCTCAACAGGTATTAGCATTGATCATCTGACCTGCAGACGGAGAGTGACCGACAAGAACCAAACAAAGCCAGTCTGATTGTGTGTATGTGTGCACAGAAGTGAGGTTGAATGAGAGGAGGTGTGTGTATGTGTGTGTGTCAGAGCGGGGCTTGCTTACATGTTTGGCCAAATGGAAAAAAATCTCAAGATCCATAGTTCATTAGGCCCCCTGCACCACCGATTTACATTTGGTGTGTGCACATGTGCAGAGCTTAGTGTGTGTCTACCCGCATCAGTACGATCATAAATCTTGACCTGTGGGCTCCTACTGGTTGTCATGGCGATGCAGCCATTCTCAGCCGTGGCACTCCATGCCCTACAGTTAGGGGGTCAAGGGTCAGAGCAGTTTTGTACAGTGGAGCAGACTTTAAGAGCGGATAACGAACAGGGGAAACCAGTAACAAGGGAAACATCGGGCCTTTCACCTTTCACCTTTTACTTCGTGGCTCCAAATGATAGCTGCACAGCACACACGAAGAGCACTCCAGCCGCCTTACTGGCCTGAAGCTACTGCGAACCTCACAGAGGCAAAGAAAGAAATCAAATAAAATGGATACACCTGCATACACATACACACACACACACACACCACACACACACACAATCAATGGGACTAAACCACCCAGACACGTACCCATAGTGTGTGATAGGCTTTTTCGTTTGACATTTCAAAACAGGAAAAGCACAGGTGGAGCATGAAATAGAATTTAATATTGGTCTGAACTCAATTTCAGCTGCTTTAGTTTCTCTGAAGGGATGACAATAAAACCTATGTATATTATATTTTTCAATTTTTTCCATAGG